TTTTTAACATTACTACAGACCGTGAGTGCAAGCCTTATTTTTGAAATACTCTATATTGTTTGGCTATGGCTATTATGCACCCGGCATTTTTTGAATTTTGAAAGTGTGTGTGCAGGGTACCAGAGCAAGTTATATATATATATATATATATATCCATGAATCCATACTACATGCCATTTATGCACATAACATGAAGAATGTTTTCTTTTGTTTGTATCAGCAGTGTACTGTCCACCATGTAAAAGCAATTGTATTGGAATAAATTGATGTAATCATTATTCTTAGTGTACAGATTAGATTCACTTTTCTCGGATTACTGTATGAAGAAATCTAACTGCAAAGCTATTAAAAGTCAATGACAATTAAATGGTGCAGAGTAATGAGTTCCTAAAAAAAGAATAAACATCTTAAACAACATAATGATAATGTGTATTGCTCTCCTATAAATGTGTAGAAATTTTCAATGACAATTCAATGTTGCAGATTTTGATTCTTGTTAAAACAAAATGAAAAGCTTTCTGATATTTTGAACTGTAGTATATAAATATGTATATGATACATGTGTACATTTTCATATTCATGCACAAGGTTTTCTTATTATACGTCTGTACATGTTTAAATAAAAATATATCAGTTACAACTTGTCATATACATGTTTATCATTTATTCCTATGGTTCTAATCAGTATACTCTTTTTGTGCATGTGTTTACAGACAAGTGCAACTTCATCCATATTTATTCAAAAAAGAAATTTACAAATTGCTTGTAAAAAAAAAAATGCTTCATGGATGAAGTTTGTCAGTGCAATTTGTTTATTTGTTCTTCATTATTTAATTGTAAGGCGGCAAAGCTCCCTCCATGTAATGTATTTTACTTTTAAAAGGAAGACTCAGAAAACAGAGAAACTCTCCACCAGTATATTAAAAGATGAGAGATTACAATATTTAATCTGCATGACCTGATGCAGGGTCAGCCCTGTGAATCTCAAACATTACCAGCAGATGAGAGTTTAAAAACCAAAGCAGCAAAGAGGAGAGTGTGCTAAAATTGGGAGTAGAAATGTCAGCCAACTGTTAAAATGAAATGAGTACAAGCAGTGCTAGTGCATGATGCTATTTCCACTGCATACCCCAAGTGATCTGAGGGGAATCAGGGCCGGCGCCACCATTAGGCGAACTAGGCATTCGCCTAGGGTGACAGCCTGCTTTGGGCGCCCACCGAGATGTTTTCTGGTGGGCTGCACCTGTCTTGGGCTGCAGCGCTCGGAGCAGCTTTTGAGCTGCCTCCCCCCCAAGCTCCAGGCTGATCTTCCAGGGCGCCCCCTATGCTGTGCTTTTAAGGAATGGCAGAACAAGCACCTGCTTACTTTGATGGCAGGTGCCTGCTCTGCCAAGAAATGATGGACAGATGGCAGGCTGCTGTATTCTGGGTGGAGAGGAAGACTGTTCTTGCTGTGTGTCAGTGAGTATGTGTGTCAGTGAATTTGTGTGTGTGTGTGTCTGTCAGTGAGTGAATGAGTGTATGTCTGTGTGAGTGTCAGTGAGTGAGTGTATGTGTGTGTCTGTCAGTGAGTGTGTATGTGTCTGACCATGATTGTTTGTGTGTGTTTGTCTGTCTGTCAGTGTGTCTGTCAGTGTGTGTCTTGTCTGTGCTAGTCTTATAAATTAAATTCACCAAATGCATTGAATACATAATTTATCACTGCCATAAATTATGTATTCAATGTACACTGTATATATTAAGCAGTATGTGTGTATGGATGCAAGTCTTAGGCAGTATGTGTGTATGGATGTATGTATTAGGCAGGGTGTGTGCAGGGCCAGACTTGGAAGAAAATTCAGCCCGAGTATTTTTTATTTACAGTAGCCCATTGAAAAGGTGGTGGGGCCAGATAGGGTGTTTTGTCATCACCAATGGCAAGCACACCCCATCTCAAAGTGAGCATGTTGGTTCAATGCTCTTCCAGGGAAGACCATGCACAGAGCTCTGCTGAAGAGCTCTAGCATGAGAAAAATGCACTGTATTTGTTCTGCACAGCGCAAGCAAATTGAATAACATTCTTGCACTGTGTTTCCTTGAAATTTGTCTCTGGTGTCTCCATAGATGGGGTACCAGGAGACAAAAATGCCAGGAAAGAGTATTGTGCAGTTTGTGTGAGGGTGATGTGTGTGTGAGGGGTGTAGTGTGTGTGCAAGAGGGGTGCTCTGTGTGATTGAGGGTGCTGTGTGGGTAAGGGTGCTGTGTGTGCGGTGTGTGTGATGGGTTTGTGATGGGTGCAGGGTGCTGTGTTATAGTGAGGGTGCTATGTGCATTTGAGGAAGCTGTGCGTGTGAGGGTGATATAAGTGTCAGGGGTGCATGTTGTGTTTGTGTGAGTGTCAGGGGTGCAGTGTGCATGTGAGGGAAGGTGCTGTGAGTGTCATGAGTGCAGTGTGTGTGTGTGAGGATGATGTGAGTGTCAGGGGTGCAGTGTGTGTATGTGAGAGAGGGTGCTGTGAGTGCCAGGGATGCAGTGTGTGTATGTGTGTGTGTGTGTGTGAGGGTGCTGTGAGTGTCAGGGGTGCAGTATGTGTATGTGTGTGAGAGGGTGCTGTGAGAGCCAGGGGCACAGTGTGTGTGTGTGTGTGTGAGGGTGCTGTGAGTGTCAGGGGTGCAGTGTGTGTGTGAGAGGGTGCTGTAAGTGTCAGGGATGCAGTGTGTGTATGTGAGTGATGGTGCTGTGAGTGCCAGGGGCACTGTGTGTGTGTGTGTGTGTGTGTGTGCGTGCGTGAGGGTGCTGTTAGTGTCATGGGTGCAGTGAGTGAGGGTGCTGTGAGGGTCAGCGGTGCTGTGTGTGTGTGAGTGTGGGTGATGTGAGTGTCAGGGGTGCAGTGTGTGTGTGTGTGAGTGAGTGAAGGTGCTGTAAGTGTCAGGGTTGCAGTGTGTGTGTGTGAGAGAGAGAGGGTGCTGTGTGTGGGTGCTGTGAGTGCCAGGGGCGCAGTGTGTGTGTGTGTGTGTGTGAGGGTGCTGTGAGTGTCATGGGTGCAGTGTGTGAATGTAAGTGAGGGTGCTGTGAGTGCCATAGGTGCAGTGTGTGGGTGTGTGTGAGTGAGGGTGCTGGTGTGTGAATATGTTTGGAGGGCTTGTGTGTTGGGGACGGGGGGGAGCAGATTATTATCAATATATATTAATAATAATAATAATAATAATAATAAACAGGCACTGATTGTATTCCCCTTCCCTTCTTACTTATCCTGGGAGGAGGGACCGTGCTGCCATCCCTGGTGGTGCTAGTGGTAGTGGTGAGTGAACTCTAGCCCGTGGGGCTATGGCAATGCTTCAGATCTTGCGAGAGGAACTCCTCCGGGTTCCTCTCCTGTCTCCCTCCCTCTCTCCCCCGCCGGCTGCCGCAATACACTGCCGCAATCTTTGATCTCCCCACCGGCCCGTCAAAGAAATCAGCGGGGACGGCGCTCGGATAGTGTCGGCCCTGCATGGGCCGACAGGGGGAGATCCTGTGGGTGTGTGTATGGATGCATGTATTATTATTATTATTGCCATTAATATAGCGCCAACAGATTCAGTAGCGCTTTACTATGAAGTGATGTAGGCCAAAATAGCTGATCTAGAAGAATTCTCGAATTCGGCTACAGTCACAGTTCAGCTGTTTTTGCTTAAACTTTGCAATTTGTTTTTCAACTCACTGCAATTAAGAGTTTAGTAAATAAACTTCTGTGACATTGTATTTGCTTTCATGTTCATGAGGGGGCAGCAAAATGTATCTTTGCCTAGGGCGGCAGAAATCCTTGAACCAGCCCTGGGGGGGAATGCATACTAATAGAGGGCTTGCCCCTCATCCACGGTCAGTAAGTGAGGGCTTTAAAATAGAAAAGTCCATCATGTCTTGAAGCTCAATATGAGCATTCAAATGTTTTTTGTTTGTTTTTTAGCTCCAATTCAATACTAGAATGCAGTTACAACAATTACTATTACTCATAACTAGCAACCATACCTCCAGACAGTGTGTTCCACTTACTTCACAAAGAGTCTGTATTGCCACCACTGCTCTATTGAAACACCAAAATCTCCAGAACTGCACAAAAAACATGTGTGTTGCTCAAGATGGTGGTTTTTACCAACATTCCTTCACAGTTGGACACAACCTATGAATTAGATTTTCTAAACCAATTATTGTAGACTTCACTAGCCACAGGAAAAAGGATTCACAATATTCTACAGAAATTATGTTATACTGTGCAATCTAATTTTAGGATGATTAAAGCTAGGGTTGCTCCAAGATATGCAATCTTTAATAAAGTTTAACTAGTAAATCTTTTTTTTTTTTTTTTTTAATTCTTTATTTTGGTTGTGCAGATAATTACAGGTTATCAACAGACGCCACAACGGCGTGTTTCAGGAGTTACAGAAATTAAATTGTGGCATAGAAGTTTGCACATTTTTTTTATATAGAGATAACAAGCTTGACTGAGCATTTATCTTGTTAGAATAGCATTTGGGTAATTGATATTCAGCAGGTTAGGTGTGCTAGTTAGCTGGACAGTTGTGATGTAGGTTGTAGGCATTGTGTTTGTTAATGGTGTGTTAGGAGAGACAACCACAATACAATGCTAGCTAGACATTTTGAACAGCCTATTGAAATGCAGCTATTAATTCGTACTGTATATGTTTGTTGCAAGTTGCTAAGCAAAAGGGTGAAAATAACTACCACTGTGCTTGGTAGGCTATATGAACTGCTTGACAGTAGAGATTATGGTGTATGCGCTATGTGTGTTGAGTTACCAATGCAGCTTGTGTGAGTATGGGTGAGGCTATAGGTAGGTATGCTTATCTTGTGGTCGCTTGGTCTCAAGTGAAGCCCCCCCCTGCAGTCCATGGCAGGAGCAACGGGAAGGGATGTTAAAGCTTAAGTGCATGCATACATTTATAAGAGTTCATCTGGGTTGTGGGAAGGTAAGGGATATTAGGCACTTTGCCTGTCATTGAGACCCAGTCCTAGGTGGTTCATCTGATGCCCCGTTGGGGGTGGTTGTGCTCCCCTCGCGCTGTCAGTTGCTCAGTGCTGGGCTCCGGTTCGCCCTGAGAGTAGCGTGTGTTCCCGGTTGGGATTTTTGTGGGTCGGCGTGGACACTGGCTGCTGTCGGTTCGAGTTAGTGATGTTGTGGTCGCGGCCGGGTTAGGTTTTACGCTCCGCCGTCTGCGTGGGCTGCCTTGATATGTTTTGCCCCCCTCGAGTCTGCGCTGGTGCACTGCCTTTCTGTTGGGCTGTCTGTGAGGCTGTATCCCAGGATTTCCTTTAGTTTGAATTGAGTCTTTGGAGGGCTGTATTGGGCTGTGGAGGGTGCGTGGTGGTGAGTGATCCAGTGCCGTGCCCAAGGGTGCCCCCCTCGCTGTCGGCTGCACGTGGCCCCTCTCACCTGCTCTCTTGGGGGTTTTCCGACTTGTCTGTGTGCTCTGTGCTCGGAGCTGCAGTTTCTCCCAGAACTTGGCGAACAGCTCATCAATGCGCCTTGTGAGGTCGGTGCTGCTGTCTGGACGCTGCTTTGGGATTGCAGGCTGGAACCGCTGTCGTGGTGAGTACTCAGCCGCCATCTTGTGCGTGCCTCGTGTGTCGCCGGCCCTGGAGTTCTACTGTGTCTCATCTGTCTGTGCAGGTGTGGCACTCCGGGCTCACGGCGAGGACCGGGATATCCCCCTCCGGTCTGGGGGGGGGGGTTAGGAGGTTTGAGGGTCGAGGTGCTTCTGCAGCAGGCTGGCAGAGAGGAGAGCGGCCGTCTCTCCCTCTCCTTCTGTCTCGCAGGCCTCGGCAACCACAGTGTGGGTCTCCGGGTCGTCAGGCTAGTGATTTGGGTATCGGAAGATGTGCCCGGGCGTCCCCCATACGGTTATGCCTCACCCGAGCAGATTTGCGCCAGGTAGTGGGGTATGTACCCCCAAAATCGTTTGTTTTGTGTCGGAGCTCGGACGTGGCACGTCCGCTCGGTCTGGATGTTAGGCTCCGCCCCTCTTAACTAGTAAATCTTAATGCCAGTTGTGCACAAACTGTGCTTTCTCACAGACCCACAGATACAGATATCCCTTCGCCTTGTTGCTCCTACTCCTCCTACTGACTTAACCGCCACAAATGTTGCAACTCACTTCACTTACAATCAGGGAATCTCTCATCTCTCTCCTTCACCTTACAATACTCCCCCAACCTCACTCCCTCTGCTGTTCTATGTTCATTTGTACAGTGGAAGAGGTTTCTGCTTTGCCTTTGGTCCTCCCGCCCCACCACCTGCTCCCTTGATCCTTTTCCCTCACATCTCATCTGTACTCTGTCTCCTTCTCTTGCTCTGCCTCTCACTAAAATTATCAATTCCTCCCTCTCTTCTGGCATATTTCCATCATCCTTCAAACATGCAACTGTAACCCCAATTCTAAAAAAGCCCAACCTTGACCCCAACTCCCCATCCAACTACCGCCGTATCTCGCTACTGCCTTTTGTGTCCAAGATCCTTGAAAGACATGTTTATGTAAGATTTACAGAATTCCTTGAGTTCAACTCTATACTCAACCCACTTCAGTCTAGTTTTCACGCTCAGCACTCTGTGGAAATGGCCAAATTATCCAACAATCTACTCTCTGCAAAATCCCGTGGTCACTATTCTATCCTAATTCTCCTTGACCTTTCCGCTGCTTTTGACACTGTAAAAAAAACACCTAAACAGTATAATCAAGTGGTTGCAACTAATATAAAGCATGTCATCATTGTTCAGAGGTTTTGATGTGTTAATTCATGACATATAATAATGGAGAGTAAACATTAACATGATGAAGGTTATTCATTCATCTGGGTTATAATGAATTTGTTTTTGCCCAGATTTTGCCATTCAGATTTCAATTTGCTATAATTAGTAATTTAGTGAATAATCTTCCATAAGTAAGGTAAATACTCTGCTCTTTATTTGAAAATAGTTAGTTTTAGCATTTGTCATGCTTATAACCCATTTACAAGAATTTTATGCTTAACTTTTACTAAATTAAGCTTGCATTAGTGCTCCATAGATTTTGTTTCATTAGTTACATAAACCGTCAGTCTACAAGTCTGTGTATTTAAGTATCTGTTTAGTAAAATTGGGTTGAGTCACATTATTTTACTTCAATTTACTACATGTTGGATTTTAGTATTAAATCCATGTGTATGCTTTTGTCTTTTGATTTTATGCAGTTTTTCAATGCAGAATCATCAGAATCCCTCTTTATTGTAGAGAGTAAACTATTATATCAATTAATTAATGCTTTAATTACATAGTCAGTTAATAAATACTAGATTCCTGTAATCCCTTGGTTTACATTATCAATGTGTATCTCATAAAGGCATCCAGGTGAATAATGTGTCTCTTTCTATGGTATGTTTGATAACCTTTCCCATACAACAGAATTGTTAATTATTTATTTATTTATCTGGCTCCTCTTTGTAATCTATTTTTCTTCTTGCTTTGTTAAACACAATTCAATATCTTTTTTTTTCATTCTTTATTGTTTGCCTGTTTAAAGGAACAGTCCATGTATTGTAATTGTTACAGTCCACTCTAGTGGTTATTGTGCCAAGAGTGCTCTGATGCCAGCCAAAAGTTAGTAGTTGAACTATATATTCAGCACGGTTTAAAAGCTGTGTTCCATCGGGTGACTATTCCATAATGAACCATCGAGTAAAGCAGCATGGTTTGAATACTTAGCTGACACAAATAAACACAGCACCAAACAGCAAGGTTGCAGTTGAAATTCCATAATTTGGTTAATCCACTTCTCACAGGGATTTAAACTTAACCCCTTAAGGACACATGACTAGTGATGTCGCGAACCGTTCGCGAACTTGCCGCAAACGGTTTGCCGCGGTTCGCCACGGTTCGCCACGAACCGTTCGCCGCGAACTCCGGTCAGCTGACACATCCCTGCCAATCTCCGGCAGACCCTCCCTCCCAGACCCTCCTACTTCCTGGACAGCATCCATGTTGAAGGCAGCTTCGCGAACGGTTCGCGACATCACTACACATGACATGTGTGACATGTCATGATTCCATTTTATTCCAAAAGTGTAGTCCTTAAGGGTTTAAACCTCTAAACCTCCATAATGCTCCCCACTGCTATCTTAATGCTAACTTAATGCTACTTCCAAACCCTCTTGCCACTATAAGAACTTTTCCATCCATGATTTACCACAAAATCTACTCTCACGTTTTTAACAGGGATAGTCAATTTAGCTTTAATTCAACTGAAATGTGGTTGCAATATGGTTGAGCTATTTTCAAATGAATCTTTCTGCAACAGTAAAATGCACTTGAAAATAAGATAGATCCATTTTACTCAGTTTGGTTAGCTTTTAGTTGTGAGTGAATACAGTGAACTACAGAGGAATTTTAACAACCAAATACAGGAGAAATGAATTAAACCAGCTTACTTTGCAAAAGCAAATTCGGCATTTAGTAAATAGGCTCTTAAGTGACAAGATGTTAATTTATATTTGATTCAAAATTGTATCAGAATGCGCAATGCCATATACCAAATTACAAATAACTATGATTCACAAAAAATGCTGAATTACACCAAATCTATGCAAAATAATCTCAACATTAAATTAAGGCATCAATCAATCAAAGGTAATATATACTAAGGACGGGAAAAAAAACACATGAAACTACAAATAAACTTGACACAGAACAACACAAATCAAATAAAAACAAATCACTTTTAATAACAGAGCTGAGACATAATGTGTTCACTGCTACCTCAATGTTTTCACAACTAATGTATGTATTTATCAAAGGAAAGTATAAATTGCATCAACCCACAGGTGTATATAAAGACCTCCTTTAATGCTGTGATGACATAAGCTGTGTCCATACCTAAGATAAAGACTCGCCCAAACCTTCTATACCAAATCACTGCATGCCAGCTCACCAAGTAAAATGGAAACATGAGCATTCAATAGAGAAAGATTGCATCTTTATTTTAACCACATTGTTATCATGGACATGTGATCTCTTCACTACCCAATAAATGCATTATGCATTCTGTGTCAAAATTTTGATTTGGTCGAATGTGGGTCAAATTTTGTATCTCTGAAGCCTCATACAGACATAAAACCAAATAAACGACTAGCATGATGGCTGGACTGTTACAGTTTGAAAGAATAAAGAGAATCATATTACCTTAAGGTAAATTTGACACAGTGTTGCATATTATAGTTACTATTGCGGACTTAAACATTATATATATACCCTAAATACTACATTGAATTGATATTCGTGACATATGTTCTGAGCTGCTGTTAGGTTCCCAAATTAATTCACAATAGCACTCTTACCATAGTCTGATCACCCAAATACAGAATTTCAATCATTACTGTGCAATGTGTTGTGGTCACAGACAACACGGTCAGGAGTTCACTGCACCCATATGCATAATATTGAGAAGCGTCCTACCCAGGAGAATGGATTCTAGATCTCAAGGATCTCAACGATCTCTTCCTTCAAAGTTATCCTTTTTGGATAAGAAAACAAAAAAGGATGCATATTGTGTGCAATCAAGTATATATCTATTGCGGTAGATCAATAATTATTAAAAAAAATAGACAGATAAAGAGACTAGACACATGGTAACCACAAAGTCCTGCATGCACCCTAGTCTCAGCTTCTAAGGTAGCCATAGGACCGGATTATATTCCCAACACTGCACACACTACATTCAAATACAACCACCTATCTACACAGAAATATACAAATATTTACAGAAGCATCTCCTGATCATAATTATAGAAAGGCATCGAGAATATATTTACTTACGTAGGCCAGTCAGTAGTCAGTGTCCTGATCCAGTATAATTATCTTTATAACAATAGTTTTTTTTTTCAGTCACCACCATGCCTCAGGGGTGGAGTGTGATTACAGTAAGTTTAATTCCAAGAAGTGTTTAGCCATAGGCAGGTCCTCTTCAGAGTCCCTATATGTTATTTGAATGCCGCAGCGATGGTTCCAAATCTTATGTGTGATATGTGAAGGTTTTCCCTTGACTCGTGTAGCTACATGTCACACATGCAAGGCATCTAACACATTCTGTGTTCCTTTGTCATGTAGCAATGCACTAGGTCAGTCATTACTAATAGGTCCCCCAGATTTTTTTCCTTGTTTGTAGCACATCATGGGTTGTTCACAGAAAATCTCTGATAATCTCTGGTAATCTCTGGTAACAAGCTGTCATTAGCCAAGATGTGACAATCATTATTCACAGCACTTTTCAAAGGTTGAGATGCTGTTGTATATACCATGGGGAGGACTAACCGTGGTGCTGTTCTCTTTTCCGGGGGAGGGTGGTTTCTATCAAGCACCCTTGTAGTGCTTTCTGTAATACAGAGTTCACACAGCCCCTTTTCCTGAACCTATTTCACATGATCTTTATCTGTCATTGAGTATTTTCTATTTCAGAACTTTTTCTGAAGAATTGCAAAGATAGCAAATACAGAATTTCAGAGGATTTGGGTGAAAGTTCCTTGCATGTAGGAGGGTATTCCATCAGTGGTTTTATTGTACAGAGTATAATAACATTTATTG